TAAACCAAGTACTGTCTTTGTCTTCTAAATACATGTATGTCTAGCTCTCTAAATTACATTTTTAGGTCTCCTTGCCTCTAGGCAGGAGACCTATTGTAATCGTTCGGATTATTATTATTATGTTTTACAGATTAAAGATAGTATGCAGCAGAGAGGGTTCGAGTGATCCTGGCACAGTCAGGCCGGTAAGGCTCATCATCAGCTCAGGGCCCTCGCCCCCTCTACACGCAGCCCAGACAGCGAATGGGACTTCTCCCAGGAAATACTGCATAGTCGAACCCACCAAGAACTTTCCGGAGAATATGAAGGCTCCCCAACACTGCAGCCTTCTGCATTACCCAGAGTGTCAGAAGGGCTGTGCTCCCAGTGGAGAACCCGGGCACTCTCCTGATCTGCGCCAAGAGATCAGGAGGTACCAAACCTAGGGCACCGAGAACAATGGGGAGCCTGACGCCAGTGTACTTGTGATGCAAGCAAGACATTTCAAAGGCGAGGTCCGCATATTTATCATGCTTTTCCTGAATCTTGCCAAACACATTGGTGTCAAAAAGGGAAAGAAAATTCAATGATATAAATAAATTCATTGGCTTTGTCAAAAAGGACAAGATCAGGTTTGTTGGCAGGAATTCTTCTGAGGCTGTATATGGGCCTATTCCACAGAAGTTTGAAAGTATCATTTTCCATGACGCCCTGGACATGTTCAGGGTCGTACCATGGATGGACCTCGGGCTCAAAGCCACAGGCATGTCGGAGACGGTAGTAAAAGCAACGAGCCATGCCATCATGTCGTTTAAGATATGCTGTTAATTATGTTTTACAGATTAAAGATAGTATGCAGCAGAGAGGGTTCGGGTGATCCTGGCACAGTCAGGCCGGTAAGGCTCATCATCAGCTCAGGGCCCTTGCCCCCTCTACACGCAGCCCAGACAGCGAATGGAACTTCTCCCAGGAAACGCTGCCTAGTCGAACCCACCAAGAACGTTCCGGAGAATATGAAGGCTCCCCAACACTGCAGCCTTCTGCATTACCCAGAGTGTCAGAAGAGCTGTGCTCCAGGGGAGAACCCGGACACTCTCCTGATCTGCGCCAAGAGATCAGGAGGTACCAAACCTAGGGCACCGAGAACAATGGGGAGCGAGACATTTCAAAGGCGAGGTCTGCATATTTATCATACTTTTCCTGAATCTTGCTAATCACATTGGTGTCAAAAAGGGAAAGAAAATTCAATGATATAAATAAATTCATTGGCTTTATCAAAAAGGACAAGATCAGGTTTGTTGGCAGGAATTCTTCTGAGGCTGTATATGGGCCTATTCCACAGAAGTTTGAAAGCATCATTTTCCATGACGCCCTGGACATAATCATGGTCGTACCATGGATGGACCTCGGAGTCAAAGCCACAGGCATGTCGGAGACGGTAGTAAAAGCAACGAGCCATGCCATCATGTCGTTTAAGATATGCTGTCTGTGCCAAGGAAGGGCATCCACTGACAAGGTGTTGGACAGTCTCTGTGAATTCATTGCAAAGTCGACATTTCATATTGATATTTTCTTTAACAATCACATTTAGGCGTTTGCGAGTGGGAAGTGACTGGTCCTGAGCAGCAAAAAGGAAGCCCTCAGTTTCACATTTAAGACCAGCCGACTTCATCCAGGCGAAGGAGTCGGTGGGATTGCTATTCTGTTCAACACACTGCATGTACACACGATGCAATGGCTTCTCAGAAAGCTTCTCCACAAAAGACCGACTCTGGGCAGACTTGGTGAAGGACTTCACCTGGTTTACTCCCATCACTGTACCGTCCAGCAGTACATCGCCATCAACAAAATCAACCTCAAATCTCAGATTCTGTCCAACAACCTTGGCACGCTTAAAATAGCTGTGGAATTCCTTGCTTTCATCATGTGTCTTCACATGCATTACTAGAGGATCATCCGATAAATATATATGTGCAAAAGTACACAATAAAATTCTATCATGAAGAGCCTCCACATTAATCAAACCCCGACCTCCAGAATTGATTGGCATGTATAAACGGTTAAGAGAGGAACGAGGGTGGTGGGCTCTGTTATCAGACATGATCCTTCTGGTCAGACGGTCAAGACTCTGGATGTCTTGTTTTGTCCAATCAACTACTCCAAACGAATAGGAAAGGACTGGCACAGCAAAAGTATTGGTGGCTTTGACCTTGTTTCGAGCATTTAGCTCTGAGCTCCAGATTTTCTTTAAACGAGATTTATACTCGGCCCGAAGTTTTTCTTGAATCTGGGCATTCTGGAGCTGGTCTCGAACTTGCATTCCAAGATAGGTGTAGGCCTGATCTTCCACAAGATGCTCAATAACTCCTCCCCCTTGTAACTTGACCGATCCATCATTACTTACCTTGCCACGTTTCAAATGAAGAGTATTACATTTGTCGAGTCCAAATGTCATGCCAATATCATTAGAAAAGGACTCGACAATTATTATTATTATTATTATTTATTCCGCCGATTTTTTACCAAACATAACTCCTAAACCAATGCTCCGAATCGCTTACAAAAAATCACACAGATGTGCACCGAGGTGTAGATATTCCCCTTAAAAATCTCTAGGCTCTAGGCCCAATAACAAAGGGGAGATACTTCAAAATTAATTCCAAAATGTCAAAGTTTGACAGCAAATATCTCAAGAACTAAATGTTCCAACACTTCCAAATCTCTTGTACAGATGCACAATCGAATTCCTAACAATTTTGCCTGGACGGGTCAAGTCGCTAAAACGTACCGTTTGGCAGTTATTTTTGTTTTCAGTTTTTGGCCATGTTTTTCAGCAGTTTTCTGAGTAGTTTGCTCCCACAAAAAGTATGGTAGATGAAGTCTTGGTGATTCCAGAACACTAATTGTTTTGACTGTAGACCCAAGAACAACTGAGATACAGCCTTTTAAAGAGGGAACTATTTCTATTTCTTCTCCGGAACTTCTTAAAAGAAACATGACCCCCCGCGACCCCGGCTGTATTTGGAAGATCCGTTCGCCTGTCAACAACGTGTTCTGGCTCCGTTTTGGACGATGATTTCTAGCCCTCAGATAAAATAGATAGAACTAAAGCCAAGGAGCCCCCATCGTTGCCTGCAACTATATTTCTTGATGTAATGTTTCTGATAAGTCAGTGGGACTTATGGGTAATTGTACAGAAAATACCTTTTCACACATAGGCTCATGGCATGTCACATTTGATGTAGTAGTTCTTGAAAGTTTATAAACATGATTAGTTGTTCTTGGTTTTTTTAAACCCTAATGCATGATTATTAGTCAGCAGGTTTACTGCCATTATTGGAGGCAGACAGAGCTGATTCATCACACGCATAATCCGTCCTAACCACGTTTCTGCCTGAGTAGGCTACTGAGCTCATATACACAGAAAATTCTCAAATTCTGTTTGCAGATGCGCTGATCACATAGCAGTCAGAAACGTTTAAAGCTGTAAATCAGCAATCGAATTGAAAGCAATTTTGTTCATAAACAAAATACGTATTTTACTTTCAATATAATTTGACAAACAAGGTGTTTGCAGTCGTGGTGATGTTAAAAGTTGCCGTATAATTATTATCGCACTTATTGATTTCCTCCGTGTACACTGAAGTGGCTGCATTTATGTGGAGAGTTGACCCACGTGTTTATTCATTACGATTGTTGTACGTATTACACGCATCATCGTATTTTGTAGAAATGTTCTAGATGTGACTCATAATCCTCACTTGGTGGTACGTTTATATGAAACCAACCTAATGTATCCATTCAGAAAACTGGAACTCACCCATGAAATCCCACTCTCCTCAGTTCCATTACCAGGATGGTTCCCTTGGGCCAGATAGGTAGACTTACCTGGTCAATCAATATTCTCTTAATCAACCACGTGATCTATCCTCTCCAAGCACACAGGATGCTGACGACGTCTTCGGATACATCTGCAACATTGCATGTTTACAACAGTGCAGGCTTCCACCAAGTCATTAGCTCTGAATTTATGCCGTTGTTGGAACAGCCAACACACGCCTTCCAGTCAAATATCACAATCCCATTTGTTATGCAAATTTAACGGTATCTCGTATTTTGTTGGTCGATAATCGACCACATCAAGTCATTAAATCGCTTCGCAAATGTGATATGCTTGTGATTAATTAAACAGAATGCTTCGGAGCTATAAAAAAGATATACAGTGTCGGAAACATGAAACGGAAGAAAGGTATTTAGATTCATTAGTGCATGTAAAGATGGCGTGAACATGCATTGGAAATGTATGTACTTGATTCAGTTTCCCATGTTATTTTATTTTTTCAGGTTTAGAATTCCAAGCCCGTGACCTGCATCCATCCCACTCGATTGACGGTGGTCAATTATACACCGACGTCCATTAGGGACACTCTCACTTTGATCCATCATCCACGTCGGACATTCATCAACAACCATTTGGTATTTGTCTGGTACTGGCGAAAGGTTATCTGTGGATTGTCTGTGAACGTCCACAGTCACTCTCGTTGGAGGTATAATTGTGTTGGGTATCGAAGACAGCGGCACTTGGCCACACTTGTGAGCTCAGTTGGTGACTTTGAAGTGATTGATTAGCATTGGCGTGTGTGCTTAGTGTTTGGACACAAGAGGTGGCATTTGTGAATATGACCAGGTCAGCCTGGTGCAACGAGCACCGGGAAGTCAGCGGAACGATTGGATATTGTCGACAAATTACGGAAGGAAGCAATGGAGGTATTCGGATGAAACAATAAATGTCATATAAAGGTGAACAGCTGGTATATGCTTCTTTCAACAAAGGTTATTCAATGTATCACGAAAATAGAAGACATCAGAAGTGTTGCGCTCAGTGGAACCAAAGTGTACACCGCGTGATGTAAAGAGAACTGCCAAGACAGAAATTGTTGCATATAGCTTTTTATGATAAGTTTCATAAAAATTCCAGCTGCTGGATCATATTGAGATAAATAGTTACCTGTTGTGACACGCATGCTTACAGGCACAGTACCGTCCACGTGACCACAGGAATGTCCTACATGCACAGCCTCTGATGGTCGGGCGCCAAACGTTCTAGGTTTTTTAAAAAGGGTAACCGCGCTTCAAGAGGCTGCATAAACTACATCAACTCGCACGGATATAGTTCAAGTGTATAACTAATTGGAAATTGGACTCACAACGGTGAATAGTTTTGAAGTCTTGATGAAAACACGGTCACATCATCCGGTGTCTTTTAGAAGAAAGTTCAGAACACAGAACGTGACACAGAGTGAACGACAGTGCTAACTGGCTTGCTGGCAAGGATTTATGTCATTATCTGGGTTAACATAGTCTGTGATTGAATTTCTTTCTCACATATTCAGTCGGTCAAACTCAACTTTCCTGATATTAGTGTGAAATTCAGGATTTGCCATGTGGCTGGGGGATTGTCTTGTGAGATGTTGTGGAGCCTTGAATGGCATCCCAGCTCGGATCCTTTGCATTCTGCTTCTACTCGCCCAAGGAGGTATTCTGGATTATTACCTGGCCAAACATCAGACCCAATTCAGCTGGGCATGGTTAGCGTTCGACCTGGTCAACGTCGGTATCTTCATCGCCTCCTTCATCATATCACGACTACGCCTTTCTCTACAGGAAGCTGGGAACGAGCAAACTAAAGCGGTCACAATTGGTTGGTTGGCATGGCTTGTGTACTCGGTAAGCCTAGTAGCAAGGATGGCCATAGCTTTCAACAAATTCTCCTTGAGATTAAACGAAGAAACATTCTTTGGCCCCAATACATTAAAGACGTCGCTAGCCTTGGCGTCATGTGTATTCATCTTTTTGTTGATGTCTCACCATGACGCTCCTCCTGCTAGCGAACGCAGGCGATATATTGAAGACCTTACTGGAACCGTTGTGTTCGACGTGTTGGACACCGTGGATGTCTTAGAGGTGATGTTCGACAAGACATCAAGGGACATGTTCCTGCCAGGACTTCAGCAAACTGTTTTAGCGGTGGCAGGTCTCAATCTCATTATTCCAACAGTGCCCTTGATCACGCTCAGCCTCACCAACTTTGGATACAAGAAGATGTCGAAACGTCTTGTGGCGCTACACAAGTTACTTGTGGTGCTGGTGGTGAATGTTCCCAATCTGATTGTTCGGTTAGTTCTCTGGCATGGCTTCAGTGTTGGAATCTCTCCCTTTATGCTAAAAAACCTCATCCTCATATGCATTGTCATGTTCGAGTTTTACGAGCACAAGAGGATGCAATATGACGAACACGCTGGGGCGATTGAAGCGAGAAAGAAAGGGGTGCGGGGCACTGTCAACCCTGTTGCTGTAAATGGACAAAGCAGCATAACAGAGTTCTCGATGCAAGCACGTATCTAAATATAAGTTATCATAACACATTGCTAATTGAAATCGCCGTGAAGAATCCTAATCAATACCAGTGCAGTAATTGAAGGAAGTGTGAATTTAAGTGTGAATAGGATTTCGCCTGTCGCAATATTTCTTTGTAGAAGATGATCGCTTGTGCATACCAACAGGAAGGATTATATTATCACGGACATGCACACCTTTTGTATGACCTGACGCAGGTACTTGCAGGGTTTCGAGTTCTGTTTTCTTGGCTCTCTTTCTTGTCCAGTTTTAAGCCAGTCACTGTAACTGTCAGGCGTGCCAAATTTTGAATAAGACTTGTTCCAGAGTCTTTGAATTTGAATGCCATGCTCGAATATACTGTGTGATATGCCTCCAAAAGTGCTTCTACAACATGTGAGGGCTGCATGCTGTACTTGGGCCATTCACGTTCAGTAATCCTATAGTTTTGTTGAAAATATTTGCTGAATGAGTTTGAGAAAACTTTATTTCTTGTACCCTACCATCCCCGACTGTATGAATGTATGACATGCTTGAAAAAATGTCGAATGGAAAGAATTTGTCCTGCATATTGAAACGAGGGGGAAATCTCCGAATGACACAAGACGCTCGCAGTCACATTTGTGAACAACTCGAGATATTCCGGGTCAAGCCGAATGTAGGTTACGAAACGGGACGAGTGGTGACGAATGTCACCAGTCAGTCAGTCAATCAAGTATAAGTGATATAATCTGCTTGTCTTTGTGGCTTGTCGTTTTACTCCACGTAGAGGCTATGTTGGCGAATGACATGGGTCCAGGGTATTTATAGCAATAGTATACAAATATAACTGACCATGTAGAAATGTATGTTTTATGTCTTGTTTTCGGAGGTAAATCTATAATGGTTTCGATCTTTGTATCTGGTGATAAGTCTGATTTACGTATCTACTTCACAACTATCCCTCATGCAATCATTGCATATGTGTAGGACTCGGATCCATGGCAGGCCTCAAATCCGTGGCAGATTTCCAAATCCATGGCAGACTTTCAAATCCATGGCTAGTTGCCGTACCTACCCTAATCTGTGGCGGATTTCCTACTCATCGTCATTAGAACATTTCAGCTCTGTAGAATAGGGGTTTATGGCATTTCATTTATGTGTTTCTAACTTACTGATACCCCTGGGCCTAGATTTTCGAAGCTCTGTTAGCCCTAAGATGGTCTTTCGATATTGCTAATGTTTTTACGACTATCATAGAAGTAAGAGAGCTTCGAAAACTTAGGCCATGCTAATTATTGAATACGTTTGCTTTCCTTTAAATATTCAACGATACATGAAGAAAGACAAAAGAGTGAATATCGTGTAAAAACATTTATTTATCATACATCTAAATCTGTCCATCATGGATCTGATGTCTGTTCGACTGGAACCTATGGGAGGTTTGAGTGTCCGTCACATCGTACACTCGGCCACAGTTAGAGTTCTTAGATGCGGTGACAGTACCCGGTCTCCAAAAGCCGCTGGTAAAAATACCGACGCCCTTGTTCATCGCGGGGTTTGGTCTAAAATAGACCGCCTGTCCATCCCGCGGGTAGAACTCATCTTCCGTCACGAGCTTGTCTGCAAACTGCTCCAGCGGGAAGGCTTGGAGTGTAGCACGGTGACGCGCACGGTACATGTCCGTGACGTCGCACATCGCCGGTCTTTGTTCGATTTCCTATGGTCCAGTGCGTGGTTTTTAACAATGATTTATACCATTTCTTCTTTGGTGTAACATCGCCGATGCGGGGGGTCTAAATCGACACTTTTCTTAAAAATTACTTGTGATGTTTCGTCAAAGAAATAATTCTCAAGGATTCCTTACCATTCTTTCGCTGGCTGCAAACGAGAGGATCATGCAAATCTTCACACTTCCCCATTTCGGATTCAGCGTTTTCAGTTTTGTAATCTCCCGCATTTTTTCCATGTCATTCCAAAATGTTTCTGCGTTGAGATCTATTGATACGGGTTTCTTATTCTTTGTAGGTAGCTCCACAATTACAAAACCATCATTTTCTATGGTTTCCATTTTCTTAGCTTTGAAGATTTTCCTGAGATTACTATCGCCACGAACGGCTAGTGTCGCATAACGTCGGGAACCGTTAGCTATTAGGTTCATTCTCCGCTAAACTTGCACATTAACATCATCTGACGTATTTGTGAAGTTATAAACATATTTACACGATCTTTTAACATTCTGTTACATTGGAACTACAACAAAGGTGGACATAAATAAAAACATATCACAATCACTTCGTAGGAAGGGTACAAGAAACGTCTGTTAATCCCACACAATGCTGTTATGTGATGTTTCGTTTGTCTTCGACAGTGTGTATTTCAGTCAGTACACCTTTTGTTGATCAATTTGTCTATTTACAGCTGTCTGAAATGTTCTAATTTGCCACAGTATTCTAATAAATATTTATGTGTAGCCCTGAACATCATATTTTGTGTTGTATTTTGTTTTTTTATACCAAATTATGTGTCTTGAAATATGTCACCAGATACGTTACGCACTTTCAAGCGTTCATCAAACTCCTCTTAACAGCAACAGGACAATTAATTCTGTAGCTATTGGTAGGTCAAAACAACAGCTACATGTCCTCAAAGACAAAATTACTTCACTTTTTTTACGAAAGTAACAATCATGCTAAGATCTTTTGAAATATCGTTTGTCACTTTAGATTTTGACCAGATACGTTACCAAGTAATCGATTATAAGTCCCCTCAACTGACTGTTCCAGGTGAAAAGACAACATGAGCTACTCCCCGTAGACCTTCGCTCAATTGAGAGCTACTCCCCGTAGACCTTCGCCCAATTGAGAGCACAACATTTTACGTGACTGCCCTGAATAGTTTAAAATTAAGTTAACCAGATACGTTACAACCAGATACGTTACCATGTTTGAAAAAGTAACTACTGCGCCTGCCTACATTCAGGAGTATTTTGATTGGATGATAACATCGTCTGCTAGTCCACTTCCGGGTGTCATGAGAGCAGAAGAAGCAGTCCTGTCATCATTTGGTATGTATCCACTTAAATCGCAATTTTTTTCAATGAATCATTGAATTTTATCATAAGTAAGGTCAACAAAACACCTTTTTTTTGAAAGTTTTGGGTTAATTTGTGAATGTAATTTGATGTATTTTCTTAGTAAACAATCAATGTTTGTATAGCAGTCGGTTGAAGGGAATCTGACGGTAACGTATCTGGTTTTATTGGTCACGTATCTGGTAAATGCTGTAACGTATTTGGTTGAGTTAGAATAACGTAAAAAGTATAGAGTTTCATATCAAACTGATAAATACCATAATGCAATACGACACAGTAAGTATTTCAATCACACTGACATAGGTACATATGATGGTTATTACAAATTTGAAGGTAACGTATTTAGTTTTTCACAGTAACGTATCTGGTAAAATAAAAATTAAAACTTTAATGTGAACATTCTATTAATTCCAAATGATTTCACTATCAATAAAAAATAATTACGTTTTGGATGTGCTGAAAATACTTAGACATAGTTATAGTAACACAGTAATGAGAAAAGAATGGTAACGTATCTGGTTTTTATGGTAACGTATCTGGTTTTTATGGAATTATGGTTGATTGAATCAAATGAAAAGCTATCAATCAGCCAGAATTACATAGGCATCTTAATATATCTTGTAGTATTATATTGCAGTGCCATAATGGGCAAGACACGTGCTGAAATTCAGCGTGCCTACAGAGAAAGAAAAAGGCTAAATGATGCTGACTTTTTAGAAAAAGAGAGACTAAGGCAAGTTAAATATAGAGTTCCTGTCGCAATGTTGTCAAGATCAAAGTTGAAAAGACGAAGACTTATTGATAAAGAATACTCTTCAAAGTACAGACAGAAAAAAAGCAATGCAAGGAACGCAATGAAAGGCAAGTTGAAGTTGAAGTTGTTGAAACATCGACCTCGAATGATACTTTGAATTCAAGTGCAACTCAGTTGGATGAAGTTTCAAGTTCATCCGATCCGCAACCATCAACAAGTTCACAGACAAGATCACAGATGAACCGATTGCTGGTTCAACTTCCCTTTCCTACCAAGCGTAAGTCGTCTACACGCAGATCTAAATCATTGGCGAAGTCAAGGCACGAAGTGTTGAGATTGAAATCACTGTTGAAAAAGAATCAACAAAAATCATGGCGCTTTCAAAAACGATTTGAACGATTGAAAAAAACAAGGAAAATAGAAGCTGCTTCCAGAAGCACACTAGAACTCACTCCAAAATCTAAAGCTATAAATGATATCAGGAAGTCTGGAATAAGTCCCAGATCTGTGCTTAGGTCTGTTGTGCGACAACTGAAGATTGGTAATGCCCTCATTTCCGAAATAAAGAATGCTCATGACGAAAACACTAATCAGAGACATCGATCGTCAATAAACACTGTGGTGAGTGGTCGCATTGTGAAGAAGTACAGATGCATTAGATATCTCACAAAAGTGACTGGTATAACAAGACATGAATTCAATGCATCAGGAAACAGAAAAACACTTAATGTTACAAAGAGAAAACGACTCTCAAAACTGAAATTGGATCTTGAAACAAAAGTGACAGAATTCTTAGCGAAAGACGAAATCAGCAGAGCTATGCCTGGCAAAAGAGATTTCAAGAAATGCAATGGCGAAAGAAAACAAACCAGAATCCTGAACGACTATTTGAGTATCATTCATGAAAGATTCCGAGCAGAAAACCCAGAAACAAGTATTTCATTTTCTACATTTTGCAAAATTCGCCCAAAACACATCGAGGTGACATCCCTTTTATAAAGAAACAAATGCCTTTGTACTAAACATCAAAATATGGCGTTAAAGCTCAAATGTTTAACAAGTACCCTAGGGATAGGCATATCTCCAAACCCTGAAGTTGTAGGCAGAAATGTTTCTGAGGAACAAATGAAAGTATTGCTTTCTTCTGTTCGGGATGATATTGAAATAGAATATGAAGAGTGGAAAAGTGTTGATATTCAAGGGAAAAAGAAAATGAGAATTGTGAAGATCTGTAAACCCACAGAAGAATTTATCAAGATGATGCTTGAACATTTCAAACTTTTCTTGGAACACATTGATCGTGTTGCAAAACAATATCAATCTCTGCATGATTTAAAAGAAAACCTGCCTGAAGAACACATCATAGTCCAAATGGACTTCGCAGAAAACTTTCTGTGCCAGTGAAATGATGAAATCCAGTCTGCATATTGGAATGCAACAGCTGCAACGATTCACCCAGTTGTGATATACCACAAATCAGAAGGAGGGGTCGAGCACACAAATCTTGCCTTTGTGTCAGATGTAAATCACCACAACCCTTCGGCTGTTCTTGCCATATTACAGAAGTTGATGTCATTTATCAAAAGCAAGTTCAGCAACACTCAAATGATCCACTATTGGACAGACAGCCCCTCCTCACAATACCGAAACCGGTATATGTTCACAATCATTTCAAAACATTTGGAAATGTTTGGAATGAAAGCAAGATGGAACTTCTTTGAAGCCGGTCACGGCAAAGGACCTTGTGACGGCATCGGTGGTACTTGCAAACGTATGGCAGCTCAGGCCATAAAACAGGGCAAAGCAACCATCCAAGACGGAAAGGACTTTTATGAATGGGCTTCAGAAAACGAAAAGTCAATAAAGTATCACTTTTACTCTCAACAGGATTATGAAAAAGCATCAGCTATCATTGACAATATGAGAACCAAACCTGTGAAAGGAACAATGAAGATACATGCAATCCATGCAATGGGAATGGGCAGAATCAGTGTCCGAGAGACTTCTTGCTATTGTGTTGGATGTCTGTTCATGTCAAATCCATGTCAAGGGTGGTCCAACAGAACTCTGATAGAACCAGATCCAAGAACATCAGAACCAGAAGCAAACACAACAGAACAAGAACTGATAACAGCAGAACAAGAACTGATAACAGCAGAACAAGAACTGATAACAGCAGGACAGGAATCAAGAACATCAGAACCAGGAACGACAACAGCAGAACAAGAACCAAAAACAGCAGAGCAAGAACTAGTGCCTGCACAACGTTTAGCTGAAAGCTTCATACCCAAAGTTGGAGAGTTTGTAGCAGCGTCTTCTGAAAGTCAGTGGTATATCGGAAAAGTCCTTGATGTAGACGAAGAAGATTCGGATGTCTTTATCACGTTCATGTCAAAGGGGGGGGTGTGAGGGGTAAAGTGCAATTCCAGTGGCCTTCAAAACAAGATGAAATCAACATTCCTTTGG